CATCTGGGAGATTCACAGAAGCTCTAAAGCTCTTTCTCAGCATTATTCATACAATACCATTGGTAGTTGTGGAGTCAAAGAGAGAAGTTGATGAGGTGAAGGAGTTGATTATTATAGTCAAAGAGTATGTATTAGGCTTGCAGATGGAGCTCAAGAGGAGAGAAATGAAGGACAATCCGACACGACAACAGGAACTTGCAGCCTATTTTACTCACTGCAATCTACAGCTACCTCACTTAAGACTTGCCTTGCAGAATGCTATGACTGTCTGCTTTAAGGCTAAGAACCTTGCTACAGCAGGTAACTTTGCCAGGCGGTTGCTCGAAACCAATCCTGTCGTCGAGAACCAAGCAAAGGCAGCCAGGCAAGTGCTGCAGGCTGCTGAGAGGAATATGACAGATGCTACCAAACTTAACTATGATTTCAGAAACCCTTTTGTGATCTGTGGGGCCACGTACATGCCAATTTATCGAGGACAGAAAAATGTTTCGTGCCCATACTGCAGTACCCATTTTGTGTTAAGCCAGGAAGGGCAGTTTTGTACTGTTTGTGATCTTGCAGCTGTCGGGGCAGAGGCGTCTGGACTGGTCTGCTCTCCTTCCCAGGTTCGATGATTATACCGTTCAACCGAGACTGTTTACAGCCATTACCTGAGCTGTCCCTTGCAGCCAAAGGTGTTTCATTCGTCAACCAATCTATCACAGAGAATAGAAAGTTATGAAGCTTTTCCAATCCAAGGTTTGGTCCATCTCCTTTGTTCTTTTTAACCTCTGTTTAGTCAAATATGATATTCAGAAATTCATGAATTTTGACTTTGGCTATTCTTTGTTAAGTTGTTCATAGACCTTTATCGATTAGATTATTTTATATGCAGGTGTTTACGATACAATTATTAGAAATTGTTTCGTAAATTCGATTATTTCCATGTTGAAATTGGGTTTTGATTTGAGGGAAAATGTAAGATTTCTCTATTTGTTGTTATATCTATCTTTTGATGTAACTTTCTCATCCCTTCCTCTAAAATGTATCTATCATGTAGCTCCACTTTTGTATTGTATGAAGCTTCTCTTTTTGATCAATTCCTTTTTGCATAAGATTGATTACCCTTAAAAAGTTGTAGTATTATGGTTTGTGTAAATCATCTCATAATGCTGTTATTTATATTTCTATCTTATCATTACTTTGGTTCAGTATTTGTTGCATAAGTTATTGTGAGATCCAACATCGGTGGAGAGGGGAACAAAATATTCTTTATAAAAGTGGAAGACTTTTTCCTAGCAGACATGTTTTAAAAATTTTGATGAAAGTCCTAAAGGGAAAGCCCAAAGAGGACAATATCTGCTAGTGGTGAGCTTGAGCTGTTACAAATGGTATTAGAGTCAGACATTGGACGGTGTTCCGACAAGGATGCTGGACCCTCAAGGGGGGTGGATTGTGAGATTCCACATTGGTTGGAAGGAAATGGGAACGAAGTATGCATTCCTTATCAAGGATGTAAAAACTTCTCTCTAGGAGACGAAGTATGCATGACGAAGTATGCATTCCTTATCAAGGATGTAAAAACCTCTCTCTAGCATACGTGTTTTAAAAATCTTGGGGAAGCCTGAGAGGGAAAACTCATAGAAGACAATATTGTAATTAGTGGGGACTTGGGCTATTACACAATTATACTGCCAACAAAGGTAGTGAGAATACTTGTTTCCTCCAATCAACTCATTTCTCCATTCGGGGTGAATCACCATATGGTCGAGGTTAGAGATTCAACTCTACTCAAGTTAAGCTCTAACTCGTAACTCCTCGTGGAGAGTTACGAGTAAGCATTTCCAAGGGTCGAAGTTAGAGATTCAGCTCTACTCAAGTTAAGCTTTGAGTCAAAATCTCTCCTAGAGAGTTAAGAGTATACATTTCGAAGTTTATACATCTCGTTTGGTTGGGAGAACATTGAAACCAAAATAGCTTTTGTTTAGGAAGAATGAACTACAACTACCTTCACCCTTCTTTATTGTTTGGGACAAAAGGAACCATTTCTTTATCTTTAAATTTTATCAACTTTCAATTATACTTTTTTGTTTATACTTTATCTTCATTTAAAACATTATTTACATATTTATCAACAAATATAATTTAAAACTAAAAACAAATTAATTGTCAATCTTAGTACAGTATATTTCTTTATTTATTTTTTTTAAGTTTCAATTTGATCTATTTTTAATTTAACCTCTAAATGTTAAAATTATCTAATAAGAAATTTATTTAGATTGCTATATTTTTTCTTATTTCTCTCAAATCTATAAAACGAAATTGATAAAAAAAAAAAAAAAAAAGTTCACGATTTTTTTCTGTTCATGTACTAAAAATTATATAATTTTATCATTAATCAATTTTAATATTTATGGAGGAACTATATTTAAAACCTTTTAATTATTATGAACTAAAACTTATATTTAGCATTTTGTTAATTAAAATTAAATAAATATAAAAGTAAATAAGTAAAATTCAAACTTTGTTTTTCAGAAGGAAATTTCAGCGAAAAAAAAGAAAGAAAAGAAAAGAAAAATAACTGATGGGTAAAGACCAAAGTGGTCTGCACGGAAGGTTGGAGCCCAAGTTACTCCACGTGGCAGCCATTCATTGGAGTCTGCACGTCAAATCATGTGAGCGCCTCTTGGGACCTCATAAATTTCTACCCCTTATATTTACAGACAATTCTGCTGGAAAAAAAAAAAAAAAAAAAACTGCAAACAATTATCGGATCAAATTTCACAGAGAGAAAATCAGATCGATATTTGATGGAAGCCCTTTCTGGAGCAGCCTCTTCATCTTCATCTTCATCGTCTGTTGAATTCGTGTTTCACGATGATTTAGAGTATGAATTTGTTGAAGAAGTCGAACGCCTTTCGAACTGGGAGTTGCTCGATGCTTCAGATGCGGATTTCGAAATAGATGGAAATGGAGATGAGCGGGAAGAAGAAGAAGAAGAAGAAGCGGAAAATTGCAGCGTTGATGTCCTAGTTCCTAAGGATCTTCGAGGGAAGCGTGTTGTAGCGATGCCGATTTCTTCTCTTGTTGAGGAGCGAATCGATGGTCCCTTCGATGATGTTTATTTGCTTCAGAATCAGGTGGAAGACGGTTTCGCGTACGGCTGCAACAATCTGGAGGAGGATGAATCCGACGACGATGTCGTTGATGATGATGATGATGGCGATGAGTGCGATTTGGACGACGAACTCGTTCCGTGGTCCGTTAGTGACAAACTCGGACGGCAGAGGATGAGGAAATTAGGGAAAAGAGGATTTACGAGGATGTATAATTCAAAGAGATCGCCGTTTTTGTTCACCAAGCCTGGATGTGTCCGCGGTAAGCACGGACTCGGATTGAAGCACAGTTCTTAGGACAAGAACATCTTCAAAAACGCGTCTGCTCCATCAAGTGCATTCCAGAAGGTAACCGAAACTAATTCCAATTTAGTTTACAAGTAAATAGATGTTGTAAAAAGAAAAATTAGTAGTTGCGTTTGCTGCAAGTAGAAGTAACTAGTTAATCTGTAAACCTAATTTGTTGGAATGGTTTCTGATGAACATCCACACTAACTTCCATATCATCTTTATCTTGTGTCCGTAAAATTTGTAAGATCAGACTTTCCTCATCTGTTTCTGTAGTAATCGTTACTTAAAGCTAGCTAACTATTTTGTAATTCAAAAACATATGAAAAGGATGCTATCATCGAGGCAAAAGGCGAGTAAAACATGTTCTTTAGAACTTTGAAACAACAGTTTAGCTAATTAGTTCTGATACATTATAATCACACAACTACATATGGTAAAACAAGAACATTACCATTATTTCTTTCATCCGGTGATTCCGATGAAGAGAAAAGGGAGGTTTCTATTTGATGGCGATAGTGTCGACCGGCGACGGTGTTGTTACATCGGTAGTCACCACTGTGGGCATTCTTCTCGTTGGTGTCATGGAAATTAGAGGTATGACTTGTGTGGCGGCATATCTAAACTTAACTTGAAATATCGAGAGTTTAACTGCTCACTAATAAGAACTTTTTATCACTCGCAACCAAAGTAGTCTATTAAGTCTCAAAATTAGGCTTTGATACTAAATGTAATGCTCGAAATTTATCATGTGGACTTGGGTATTTGACACGTGGAACACATTGTGGACTCCTAACAGTCAAGTGACAAGATAGATCGTCCAACTCATTCTAATATATCAAATGGTCTGATGAACCATGATTTTAACTTCCATGTGCTCCCGAACCTAAGAACTCCTTTCATGGATGCTACCTTTATAAATACATTGTCTCTTGTCTTGTACTCCATATTCTACGTTTTACATTATCAATGTTCTTGCCTTGAGATATTCGATCAATAAGGTAAGTCATATCCCCCTACCCGATAGCTATATGCAGTAAGCTCTTGTTGCATTTTGCTTACATTCCCATATAACACAAATTTTAATTTCTCAAATATTGCTTTCAAAACTCTCTTTCGAAATCTCTCTGCCTTATTTTCTAAAACAGTCTTCTTGAACCGAGGCCAAAGGCTTGAGCATACGTCGCTTGGCCGTAGGCGACGCAAGAACGAATAGGCTTAACTCACTTGTTGCTGAAAAGTGAGTGTCGCATAATCGCAAGTCCTCTACATCAAAGTGCGATCGTGACAAGCTAAATCTTACTTCCTCATAATGATTCTTTATCATCACCAAATAAAGGACGAGTTCGGTTGAACTTATTATTCAATAAAGGTTATTTGAGTTGAAAAACTTTACAACTTGAACAATTGAGTTGAGTCTAAAAAAATGTTTCCGGGTGGACGAAAACTCCCGTTATAAATTATATATTATTAAATTAAATGTATTTAGCAATTTTCTAAGTTACCCAATTAAAATTTAGGTTGTTGCTTAATTGAGAAACGTTCTTCATCAACCATCCACGCGAGTGATATGGGCTCCCGAGTTGGAAAGCCCAATAGGCCCAAAACAGGAATGGTCCATTCCATATGAAGCACCTCACAGTTTTGGCGGGAAGAAAGCTGTATGTTCCCGCCATGTCCCTTGGCTCACTGGCCATTTCTTCATCCCTCCGAATTTCACTGCTTCACTGTCCAGTAGCTATGGCGTCCGATTCTTCTCCAACTTCAATACAGGTCGGTATCTTTCTAAATAGTCGGCTAACTAGTCTACTTCGACGTGAATTGAACGTTTATTTCTCTATTTTCTGTTCTTCGTTTCGCAGGTCCGTCGAAGCCGTCGCCGCTCATCTACTCCTTCGGAATTTGCTACACCGCCGCGTCAACGATCTCGACTGGCCTCGTCGGAAACCTCCCCGACGGCTACGGAGCCGCGCTCGCGCCGGAAAGGTGGTGGACGAAGAGCGTCTGGTAGCCGAGCGACTCCGGTGGCTGCTACACCTACTTCAACGGATGATATTCCGCCGTCGACGGAGCCTGGCGATGGTGACGACATGGACGAGGACCATCCGACCTTTGTGTGGGGGACGAATATTAGTGTTGACGATGTTAAGGGAGCGATTATTCGGTTTTTGAGGCATTTCCGCGATTGTCAGGCGTCGCAGTCTGAGGGGGATTTTCATACCGAGGGAAAATACGCGGATGCAATCAAGCGGGTTCTTGAAATTGAAGGGGATTCGCTCGATGTGGATGCGCAGGATGTGTTCAATTACGATGCGGATTTATATACGAAGATGGTGAGGTATCCTCTCGAGGTTCTCGCAATTTTTGATATTGTTCTGATGGAAATGGTGCCCCAAATCAACCCATTGTTCGAAAAGCACATTCAAACTCGGATTTTCAATCTCAGAACTTCTACTTCAATGAGAAATCTTAACCCATCTGGTAATGTTTCTAACATTCAATTTCATTGATTTAGTTTTTGGTAGTTATCTCTACTCCATTAAACTGGGGTCTAAGACCAATTGGTTTTTTTTTATTAGATATTGAGAGGATGGTGTCACTGAAGGGAATGATTATACGGTGTAGTTCGATAATTCCTGAGATCAGAGAGGCGATATTTAGATGTCTTGTGTGTGGATACTACACTGACCCTGTAGCTATTGAGAGAGGTGAGTTTAAATTTCATTGGACTTATTCTTTCCTGTTTGCATGATTGGCCTTAAATGCTTGCTCAAATGAAGTTTTCTGTTTGTACTGACAATGGAGTCGATTAACTAATTAGGGCGAATATCTGAGCCCATTATATGCTTGAAGGAAGAGTGCCAAGCAAGGAACTCAATGACGCTGGTACACAACCGATGCAGGTAATCTGCTGCTAAGTTTGATGTCACTTTAATATGATTAGAAAACTGTACGTTGTGTCTTATCCAAACTATTAGTATGTACAATTTTTAGTAATATTTGCTTGCTAATTCCTTGCGCTTGTCAAAAGTGAAAAAGTTGATATATGTGTCAATAATATTTTGCAAGTATCTGTAGTTGTGACGGTTGGGAAAAGGGATAGTGAAAGAGATAAGAATAAATAGAATAGATGAATGCGCTTTATTATTGTCTACTGAATTTATGCAGAGGGTTACACAATTCCCGTATTTATAGCTTATACACTGGACCAAAAATAGTAAATCATCGAAATCTAGAAAAATTCAAATCTACTAACAATCTCCTCAGATCTTGGTAGTTTGAATATTTGAATCATATCTCAACTACTCTGAATCATATCTTTTTTAATACTTTGAATCATATCTCAACACTCCCCCTTGATTCAAAGTTGCAAATGCCAAGTAATCGTCTGAAGTAGCAAAACTTTTCTTTTGACAAAGCCTTGGTAAGTATGTCTGCTAGCTGTTCATCGGTGTTACAATATTTCAAGACAATTTCTTCGTCTGCAACAAGATCACGAATATAGTGATGTCGAAGTTCAATATGTTTTGTTCTACTGTGAAACGCTGGGTTCTTTGTCATAGAAATAGTTGCTTTATTATCACAAAATATCTTTGTTGCCCCTTTTTTCTCTTGTTGAAGATCAGCTAACATTCTTCTTAGCCAAATAGCTTGACACGCTGCTGAAGTTGCTGCAACATCTTCTGCTTCTGACGTTGACAACGCCACTGTTGCTTACTTCTTTGAGCTCCAAGTGATCGCTCCTGACCCTAAAGTGAAAACATTGGCTGAAATGCTTCGTCTATCATCTAATGATCTTGCCCAATCACTATTAGTGAATCCATATAGTTTGAAATTAGAGGATTTAGAATACCAAATTCCATACTCCATAGTTCCAGCAATGTAACGTAAGACTCTTTTTGCTGCTCCATAATGAACCTTTGAAGGATGTTGCATTAACTTAGAAATAATACCAACAGGAAATGCAATGTCGGGTCGTGTGTGAGTTAAATAAATTAATCCGCCAACCAAGCTCCTGAACCTTCTAGCATCTGTCATTTCTGCTCCATCATCATGTTGTAATTTCTCATTAATATTCATAGGTGTAGCTGCTTACAATTAAACATACCAAATTTACTCATAATATCTTTGACATATTTTCTTTGTGAAATAAAAATTCCATCCTCAACTTGATATACTTCAAGATCAAGAAAATAGTGTAATAGACCCATATCTGACATCTCAAATTCACTCATCATTTGAGACTTAAATTTATCCAAAAGAGAGTTAGAAGACAACATAGAGGCAAATAATGATGAAATCACTTTTATCTTCCTTCTTCACATATAAAGTAGGCTCATTCTCACTTCTCATGTATCTTTTCTTTTGAAAATACTCATCAATCTTGCTGTACCAAGCTCGAGGGGCCTGCTTTAATCCGTATAGTGCATTTCTCAACTTGTATGCCTTTGTTTCTTTGTTCTTCTTTATGAATTCTTCTGGTTGTGCTACATAAACCTCTTCTTGTAAATCTCCGTTAAGAAATGCTGACTTAACATCAAACTGATAAACCGGCCACTGCAATTCTGCTGCTAATGCTAGAATAGTTCTTACAGTTTCAAAACAAGCTACTGGAGAAGAAGTTTCTTCAAAATCTATACCTTGTTGTTGTGCATACCCTTTTGCTACAAGACGGGCATTATGTTTTTGTATACTTCCATCTGGTGTAAATTTTGTCTTGAACACCCATTTCAAATTGATTGCATTTTTTTCATTTGGTAAGTCAACCATCTTCCATGTTCCATTTTTCTCAATGGACTGCATCTCTTCTACCATGACTTTCTTCCACTCTTCTCTTTCAGCTGCTTCTTCATAACTCATAGGATCTGAAACAACAAGAGCAAATTGACATGATACATATATTAGTTAAAGATTTATACTTCTTTGGAGGTGTCTCATCCGAAAGTTCTTCAAGAGAAGAATCGCTGTCTAGTGATGCTGAAGATGATGAATTTGACACATTTTGTGTTGTAGTGGAGGCACTAGGAGATGTACTGGAGTTGACTCTTGTCTCTTCATTTGGGAAACTTCAACGGTAATCTTTTGCTGCCCCTGTTCTTTACTCCAATCCCAACTCACGTTTTTATTAAATATTACATCCCTTCTAACTAAAATCTTTTCACTGATGGGGTTGTATAATTTATATGCCATTGATTGAGTACAATAGCCAATGAAAATGCATTTTTCAGATTTTTCATCAAGCTTTTGACGAATTTGAGGATGTTTTAAAGCATAAGCAACACAACCAAAGATTCGTAAATGACTTACAGTTGGTTTCCTTCCATGCCATGCTTCATAAGGAGTTCGATTCATAACCTCCTTTGTTGGTGAGATGTTTAATAGATAAATAGATGTTGTTACGGCTTCTGCCCAAAATTGGTTTGGAAGTCTCCTTACTTATAACATACTTCTTGCCATCTCCACAATAGTTCGATTTTTTCGTTCAGCGATTCCATTTTGTTCTGGAGTGTAGGGAGCTGTTAATTCCCTTTGGATGCCCTCTTCTTCACAAAACAGATTGAACTCTTTAGATATGAACTTGCCACCTCTGTCTGTTCGAAGAACTTTAATGTGACAGCCACTTTGGTTCTCTACCATAGCTTTAAAAATCTGGAACTTCTGAAAAGTTTCTGACTTACGTTGTAGGAAGTAAACCCAGCTCATGCGACTATAATCATCAATGAATAGTAAAAAATATATACTCCCACCCAAGGACTTCGTTTGCATTGGCCCACATACATGAATTAGTTCTAGACAATGTGAAGCTCTTCTAGCTTTTCCAATAGGAAAGGACTTCCTAGTCTGCTTGCCATAAATGCATTCTTTACATAAATTAGTTGAGTCAATTCTTGGTAATCCGAAAACCATACCTTTATTCCTGAGTATTTTCAGGCTCTTCATATGAAGATGTCCATATCTGAGATGCCATAATGTTGAGTCATTTTTCGTACTAGCAGCAAAAGCAAAATCCTCCATGTTAGAAATACATCTTTCGTGCTATGGCCTGATTTCTTATGTGTAATGACACACGTGTTGTCATCAAATAGAACTAAATGTTCTCTGGTCATCAATTGTCCAACACTCAATAAATTATACCCTAAATGAGGTACAAATTGAATATTATCTAATTGTTTTATCTTACCATGACTGATTTTGACTTTCACTGTACCTTTTCCCTCAACTTGCATCTCTTTTGTGTTTCCAAGTTGCACCTTAATTTTTTGCGTCTCATCAAGCTCTTTGAATAAAGATTTGGCTTCTGTCATATGGTTCGAGCATCCGCTATCAACAAACCATAAGTCACCATTTTTTGGATTAGTATCCATGCACGCCATAAGTAGCTTTTCTTTTTCTTCTTCTTCATTCTCTGCTGCAAAATTCATTTGTTGATTTTTATACCAACAATCAGATTTTGTGTGCCCATACCTTCTGCAATGGTAACATTGTATGACATTCCTTTGTTCATTGAATTGTCTCTGTACATCACTTTTCCATCTACCCCTGTTATCATGACCACCATGGAAGCTGCGAAATTCTCCTCTTCTACCTGCTAAATTAATATTTTCTCTTTCGTTGTTTTCGTTGTTGGTTGTCTCCTTCACCTGTAGTGCCTTTTCTTCATTCCTTTTTGATGCTCTATTGATTCTTGCCTCTGGGCCTGAAGCGAGCCCATCAATTCCTCAACGGAGAGTATGGATAGATCCTTAGCTTCTTCTATGGCAGCCACCACATGGTCAAACTTTGGAGTCAAGCTTCTCAACACCTTTGCAACAATTGTTTCGTTTGAAATTTTCTCTCCATAGGTATGCATCTGACTGACTATTGCCATTGCTCTTGACAAAAAATCAGCAATTGATTCGCCATTCGTCATGAGTAGAGTTTCAAAATCACGTCTTAGAGATTGCAATTTCACTGTCATAACCTTTGAATCTCCTAGAAACTCTTTCTGTAGAATTGACCATTCCTGCTTTGATGTGGTTGCTGCTGCAATTCGTGAGAAGATAATCTCATGAACTGCTTGCTGAGTGAATAAAGCCTTGACATCGTTTTTCTTGGTTTCTCTTAGTCTCTCCTTTTCTTCTATTGTGGGTTCTAATACATCAACAAACTCGTGCTCCACCAAGTCCCATAGCTCCTGCAATCTGAGCAAGGTCTTCATCTTGATGGTCCACCACTCATATTTCTCACCATTAAAGATCGGTAACAACGGTGCAGAGGAAGAAAAGCCAGCTACTGCCATTTTTGTTTTGTGAAAGAAAATAATCACTCGCCCTCGCGTCGAACGAACTTGGCTCTGATATCAAAATTGTTGGAAAAAGGGATAGTGAAAGAGATAAGAATAGATAGAAAAGGTATGGATTTTTTGGCATTTATAGGTCTAAATTTCTTGACCATTCATACCTAAAGCACTCACCTTTTTGATTGAAATGCAGGTGGAAGAGTTGAAGGAACTCTCTAAAAAACCTGATATATATGACAGACTAACCAGGTCATTGGCACCTAATATTTGGGAGCTTGATGATGTAAAGAAGGGCCTTCTTTGCCAGGTATTTTTTTTTCTACGTCTCTACTTCTACCCTTTCTTGCCATATTCTGAGCGTTGATTTCTCTTTGTGCAGCTCTTTGGTGGGAGTGCTTTGAAATTGGCATCAGGTGCAAGCTTTCGTGGAGATATTAACATACTTCTTGTTGGTGATCCTGGAACCAGCAAGTCTCAGCTTCTCCAATACATACATAAACTGTCTCCCCGTGGCATTTACACCAGTGGAAGGGGTAGCTCTGCTGTTGGTTTGACTGCTTATGTCACCAAAGATCCTGAAACAGGGGAAACAGTATGATCTTACTGCATTTCATCGAATTTTCTTGACATCCAACTTGTTTGAACTGTGGATAACTTGTGCACATTGGGTTACTTTTTAGGTGTTGGAGAGCGGAGCCTTGGTTTTGAGTGACAGGGGCATATGCTGCATCGATGAATTTGACAAAATGTCTGAAAATGCAAGGAGCATGTTGCATGAGGTTGGTATGCTTTTGAGTTTTATTTCGAAATAGATGTATCTAAGTTCTATATGATTTGGTAGGCGATGAAAAAGCTGAGGACTTTTAAACTTTGGGGCTTGTATCTATTGCCTGTTTCCTTTTTTTCTTCTGTGAATATTTGTTCAGTGAAGGAAGAGCAGCATTTTACTCATTGCAATAGAATTTATATATGACACTGTTATTCTATACGTGAAAAAAATTCCCATCTTTGATGTTTCATCACTCATACTATTTTATCAATCCAACTAACTTATTTTGATGGTTTAAGTTTTAAATGCTTCTTGTACTTTCTAGGTGATGGAGCAACAAACCGTTTCAATAGCGAAGGCTGGAATTATTGCTTCCCTCAATGCCAGAACTTCAGTATTAGCTTGTGCAAATCCTAGTGGTTCACGTTATAACCCTCGTCTTTCTGTGATTGATAACATTCACCTTCCTCCTACTTTGTTATCTAGGTCAGTAAACACTGTTGATTCGTCAACCACATTATTTCTAGAACTTTGTATGCATGCACATCTAAATTCAGTACTGCTGAGCTGTTCTGTGATAAATTGTTCATATGTTTGGTACCATGAACTAAGGGTGTCGTGAACATAGTCACTAAACTGAACGAAACCTTGTAATGCTGAGAAATTATTTCAATCACATCTATGTTGGATTTCTGATGCAACTACTGACTGAAATTATTTTGGTTTATTGACTTCTCAGATTTGATTTGATCTATTTAATTCTGGATAAGGCTGATGAGCAAACAGATAGGCGCCTTGCTAAGCATATTGTCTCACTACACTTTGACAACCCAGAGGTTTGAGTAACTTGCAATTCTGGTCATATACTGGCTATTTAAATTGATTTGTCTTGTTCATCATTCAATTGCACTCCACTTGCAGGGCATTGAGCAGGATTTCTTGGACCTTCATACCTTGACTTCATATGTCAGCTATGCTAGGAAAAATATTCACCCGAAATTGTCAGATGAGGCAGCTGAAGAGTTGACTAGAGGCTATGTTGAACTGAGGAGGAGAGGAAACTTTCCAGGCAGTAGTAAAAAGGTACCTGCATTCAAATATATTCCAATGGAAGGAAATCTGATTGTGTTATCAAATTTTGTCCATTGTTTTATTTATGGGGAGAGAGGGAAAGAGGGAGGTCTTTTTTCTGACCTTTTCCTTTTCTTTGTTCAATTGAAATTTATCATTGAATCAACAGGTTATAACAGCTACTCCCCGGCAGATCGAGAGTTTAATACGTCTAAGCGAAGCCCTTGCTCGAATACGTTTCTCCGAATGGGTTAGTAAAGTTCTCTTTTTCCTTATTCATTATGGTTCATAGTTAGTATGACAGACTTAATTTCTAATGCATTCAGGTTGGAAAGGGTGATGTCCTTGAGGCTTTCCGCCTTCTTGAAGTCGCAATGCAACAGTCTGCAACAGATCATTCTACAGGTAGTTGTTTTGGCATGCCTCTAAATCTCTTTTGAATCCTATACAGTTTCACTTTCACATCTTAACTTCAATCTTCCTTCTTTGCAATAAACTTTCAGGAACTATTGACATGGATCTGATCACCACGGGAGTATCGGCAAGCGAAAGGATGCGAAGGGAGACTATATTATCGGCAACTCACAACATTATTATGGAGAAAATGCAGCTCGGAGGACCCTCCATGCGCCTGACAGAGGTGTGTTGTTTAACTTCTACTGTACGCAGAAACATTCGTAGTAAGTTGGAAGCTTTGTTTCTAAATACTTTCCAATTCTCCTGTAGTTACTGGATGAGCTGAAGAAACAGAATCCTGATAATGAAGTCCACCTCAACAATGTATGTTTCCTCTATCTAACAACCACAAATTGTCACATAATAGTTGATCGAATCGTGTTGATGATAATTATGCGTGTTTTCGACAATGCAGCTTAGGAATGCGGTGTCGACGCTTGCAAATGAAGGATTTGTAGCAATCCATGGTGATAGCATAAAGAGAATATGAGGGAGCGAGCTTGAAGAACATGTTTGGCAGTCTCCAAGTCAAAATGATGAAGAAGCCATGGGTAAACATCCTTACTAACTAGCCATTTTCTAACATCTCACTCAAATGGGTTATTCTTATTGTATAAAATGTCATGGTTCTTTTTCTTCCTTCCCTCTGTAACATTATTTAGCGGTGGGTTTAATCACTGTTAATATAGTTTTTACTGCACCTATTAACTTAACTTAGTAACACGTTCACCTATTCGAGACTGTTGTATATGTATGTAACCCTCCCATATAAGCTTATTTTGTCGATGGGACTTCCTTTTTCGCCCTTCCCGACATGCACCGTGTCTCTAAGTCAAATTGTTCATCAATTGCTTCAAATCCCCCAAAATTTGGAAGTAACCAAATCATTTTGGTCTAAGCTAAAAGTAGCATCATACACATGTTTAATATGGAATAGAGTATATATATATATGTATATATAACTTTTTAAGGGTATTATCTTATTTTTTTTAAAAAAAGTTTAATTAATACCCTTTATTTTTATAAAAAATTTAGTTGAAAAAATTCTGATATTAGAATATTTTTGAAATATAATATTTAATATTTTTTAAGTATTAATGAAACACCAGAAAGTTTAAAGATATTTTAAAAATTATTTTGGAAGTTCAAATTACTGTATTTTAAATTTATTTTTTTAAAAGTTAAAAAATATTATTACAATTTTTACGAGTTGTGAGAATATTTATGAGATAAAATGCAATATTTAAAATTATTTTTATTCCTTTAGTTAAGAATAAAAATGTGAATCCGGGGCAGAAATTCATGGGGACACGGATATATCGAAATAACAATAATTTAGGGGCAAAAAAGGGAAAAAGAAAAATCCAAATAAAAAACAAAACAGGTGGAATCATGTTAACGTGGATGCATCCAAACCCATCTCTCCCCTTTTCCTTCATCTTCTTCTTCCAGATTCGTCCCTGCTCTGTTCTTCTCAATCCCATCAAGATTCACTCATCAGGGCCCTGAAGATTACCATTGGAGTAGGGTCTTCGAACCAGCTATGGGCGATACTCGAGGTGGCTGCTGTCCATCCATGGATCTATTCCGCTCCGAGCCGATGCAGCTGGTGCAGCTCATCATTCCCATCGAGGCTGCGCATCGCACCATTTCCTACCTTGGTGATCTCGGTCTTCTCCAGTTCAAAGATGTTTGTGCACCTTCCTAATCTTCCACTTCTTTGATTTCTGTTTTTTGATTCTTGGTTTGCTTGGGAGAAATGCCTGGTTGCTTGGATTGTTTAATTTGGGTGTTCGTTTGTTTTTGTTGGTTTTCAATCATGAGCCTGAGCTGCGCGTTCTTTCTTGATGTTTCGATTGATCTTGATTGCTACTTTTTTTAGTTTATTGTGATTAACTGTGATGTTGGTATGTTGTGATGAAGTAAATTCTCTTGAATTTGTTGCTTCTCGTGGTAATTTTAATTACTTTTTTCGGGTTGAGTTACCTTCACGCTTCGTCTGCTTCATTAATCATACAGTAACTATCAGGTTGTTGATCGGAATCTTTTATCTCATGAACTTGTCGAAATAGGGCTTGATAGTTGGTGAAAATGGGAGGCGGCTTAGGAACTGTAAAAACCCTTCAAAGGTTGAACATAGCTTAGTATTCAGCAGTTCAAAATTCCTACTGTCTTGGTCTATCTATTTAGAGTATATAGCTCTTAAACTTTATGATGATAAAATATTGAAGTTTCGTGTGATTGTTTCAAATTCCAAGCACTTATAGATTGGGGTTCAAAATTCTTGTAGAGCATTTGGAGGAATTTAAAAAAGAAAACATGGAGGGTCTAAGTCGATATCATATGGTATACAATCGCAGGAGGTTTGAAAATTCCCCAATATAAGCCATAAGAAGTCGCAGGAGGTTTGAGAATGAACACTCTTTCTGTGCATGACTATTCCAAATATTAAAATCAAACTGAATGAAACCTTTTTCTTAATTATACCCGTGATGTAATCGTCCTTCAGGATGTTTGGTCTCCTATCTTCTTTGTAATTATGTTCCACATGTATTTAACTAGAATCAGGATGCATATTTTAAGCTCCTTTTGGAAACTAACTTTTGTTAGCATCACTTTGTCAAGAACAATTTTCTCATGATTAAAAAGAGACTGATTAAATTAATTGGAGTACTAGGGTTGATGTGGTTAACTGTACGTGCTGAGTTTATTCTTGTTGATGTAGTCATTTCCATTAGCTGTAAGGACATGATATTGCCACCTTGGATGAAACGTAAGGTGCTAGTCTCATGTCTGATCCTTGTATTGAAGAAATATAGATTCATATCATACTGTTATTTTTCTTATGAAAGATATTTTTTGTAATATTATGTCACATGTATTTTGGATGGAACATATTTTTTTAATTTTATGATTTATTACTAGAGTTGTGCATGTGTACCAGATTCCTGCTGTTTTCTTCTCTGTTGAAATAGTAAACTTGTATTTCTCATGTAGTCATTTCCAAAATTGATATTTAGCATGCCGATAACTCTTGGTTCTTCTGTAACTCCTGACCACCCAATGTATTAATTCTTCCAGCTCAATGTTGAGAAAAGCCCATTCCAGCGTACTTATGCTGCACAGGTATGTCTTGACTCATGTTCCAAAAGGCCATTTTATTTGCTGCATTTGTTTTTAGTTTTTACCTTATGAAACAAATAAAAACTTATGTGATGTAAAAAGAGCCCCCTTTTATAACTACAGTTTATCTTCTCTTGTATAGAATTTCATCAATTTTTAATTTCATCCATTCAATGAAATGATTTGTTTCCTACAATTTGAGATCTTTATTTCTCTTTCTCTGTTGCACTTACCTTTCTTACTCTTGTTCTAACAAGATCAAAAGATGTGGAGAGATGGCACGCAAATTGAATTTTTTCAAGGAACAGATGTTGAAGGCTGGATTGTCAAGCAAAAGCTCTGTGTCACAAGTTGATATCAGTATAGATGACCTTGAGGTATCATACAATTTTATTAATAGCTAAACTGGTTTTTGGTGTTTCATGTCTTGATTGTTTATTTTTCTTTATCGTATTATAGGTCAAACTTGGTGAGCTTGAGGCAGAACTGGTTGAGATAAATGCTAATAGTGAGAAGCTACAGCGTTCCTACAATGAACTTGTGGAGTACAAGCTTGTTCTGCATAAGGTAAATCCTTCTGAACTTTGACCTAGAAAACTTGCAGTTGTTTCACGTTAAATCATGTGATGCAAGAAAATAGTCATATTAGCCAGCCCCTTATGGACATAGTCAACTCCTTAGATAGGGATTTATCATCGCTGTGCAGTGTACTTGTTTTCAATTACTAGATTGTTTAGTTTGTCTAGGTATATTTATTCAGTTGTTTTTTACTTTTTTTAATTTATAATTGAGCAGCATTACGATTGCATGTTTCTTGTTTCCATCAATTTTTATTTAGTAGGTATTCTACCTCATTAAATTGGTCATTTTTCTGTTCAACATATGAGTTAAAAAAAGTTGACAAATTTCCTTTTGTCAGGCTGGTGAGTTTTTCAGTGCAGCGCAAAGCAGTGCCGTAGAGCAGCAAAGAGAATTTGAATCTAGGCGAGTTGGTGGAGATTCAATAGAAGTTCCATTGTTGTTGGAACAAGTACAATTTGGAAATTCTCTTTTCAAAGTTTAACCGATCTTGTATTTTTACATTCTTTAACTTCATTTGCCTTATGATGAAGGAATCATCTGCGGATCAGTCAAAGCCAGTTAATTTGGGATTTCTCTCTGGTCTTGTTCCTCGGGAAAAGTCTATGGCATTTGAGAGGATACTATTTCGTGCAACCAGGGGTAATGTGTTTCTGAAGCAGGCTGCAGTTGAGGATCCTGTTCCAGATCCTATTTCTGGAGAGAAGGTAAAGTTTTGAAATAACACCGGTGTAAAATCTTTTACTATTTTTTTTTATTATAACGATTATGCATACTATTTTTCAATTGGACAAGAAACAATTACATTGAGCTTGTGATTATTTTTTTTTTTTAGTTTTCTTTTTCTTTCCTTTTTTCTCATCAAAGCAAAATACATCTTATGGTCACTGTCTGTTTATCTTTGTTTCATGGAATGCGAGCCCTAAAACAGTCTACTGATGAATTGTATTTACTAACATTGCTGTCTCTCTCTTAATCATTATCAATGAAAGCTTGGTTTCTTACTAGGAAAAAAATGTTGTTCTATGGTGCCATGTAGAGGCCAAAATGGGATATGATAACACAAAGACTAAGGCTAGACCAGCAAGTCTGCTACAAAAATTTATAACCTTGAAGTATTGAGGTAGAAGACAGTTGATCATAAAATGAAAAATCCATTAAAAGGTAGAATCTTTAGGATTCAGTCTGCTTGAACTTGGCTTGTGAGATTAGTGGACTTGGCTTGTGAGATTTATTGATGCAAGTGCAAACTGGCCTAGACACTTGTGGGTATATAAGAAGTCTTCTTCAGCATGACAATCTCTTGCTTAAACTATCCAGCCCATGTAATCTTGCCGACCATGCTTGAACCTGTTGCAGCCATTGAATGATGCTCCTCTTTGGGAATAACCAGTTTTTCTTCCCAAGAGCTATTCTATAATTTCTTCTGAACGCCCCCAGCTTTAATAATTTACTTGATTTTCTGCTTCTTTGAGACCATCTTAAAGTTGATTTTGATATCAGTAGTTGAGAATCTCTGAAAATTCATTTGTGACCTCTTAGTAGCAGGAGTATTAACCAGAGGCTCAGAGCTTGATTAGTTGGTTCCTATAATCCCCCTCCCTTCTCAATTCATGATATTTTTACTCAAAATAGTTCCTATTGATGTTGTTATTTGTGCATAACATTAAAATTCTCTACTCATGCTTAAACTTCTATATTATTTTTTTTTGTCGTTGTTCCTACAGGTTGAGAAAAACGTGTTTGTTGTTTTTTACTCTGGAGAAAGAGCGAAGAATAAGATTCTAAAAATATGTGAGGCATTTGGTGCAAATCGTTACCCTTTTACCGAGGACTTGGGGAAACAAGCCCAAATGATTTCTGAGGTACTGAATCTATTCCTGCTTGAATTGAATTTGCTCATCTAATGTTCCCCTGCCTACAGATTTAACGTTATTTCTATTTTCTACAAAGCTTGGTTTTTCTTAGTATTTGATCAACTCGATTTTTCTTAGTACTTGGTTGACTTGGTTTTTCTGTTGCCTGGGTCTGGTGTTGATTTAGAAGATCTTTATATTTCTTATGTTTCAGCTCACGCTCTCCTGCTAGCTTGAATAACTTAAT